AGCATTTAGCCTACCCATGCTCACATCGCTGATTTGAGAGTCACAGCACACTCAGTTTTATATGAAACTTGCAATTTTGATGTCTTTTCAACGTTGATCATCGCCAAGACAAGGTTCAAACAGCCTACATGCCATTGCCGTGTGTATACAACAAGTAGCTAAAAAGAATTGAATCCCACAAATATAAAAAATAATGTGTTGCTCAAGTTTCTAATTTTGTTGAACTTGTTGGTTTTTCTATGCTATAAACATTGAGTCTATAAACATTTAAGTGGTATCATTTCTTGCAAACAGGGAAAGGTATCCACCTTATTACATAGGTGTGAGTCAATTACCCACCTAGCCGATGTGTCAGTCACCTGGTCAGACAGCCTACGTGTGAGTCACCTACCCAGATATCCAGTATGTGAGCCACCTAGCCAGATAGCCAGTGTGTGAGTCACCTACACAGATAGTCAATATATAAGTCACATACCCACCTAGCCGTTATGTCAGCCACCTGATCAGACAGCCTGCATGTGAGTCGCCTACCCAGATAGCCAGTACCTGAGTCGCCTACCCAACTAGCCGGCGTGTCAGTCACATGGTCTGACTGCCTGTGTGTGACTCACCTACCCAGATAACTGGTGTGTCAGCCACCTGGTCAGACAGCCTGCATGTGAACCACCTAACCAGATAGCCAGTACGTGAGTCACCTACCCAGATAGCCAGTACGTGAGTCACCTACCCAGATAGCCAATGTGTCAGGCAGGCAGGGTCAGGCAGGCAGTGACAGGGAGGCAGGGTCAGGGATGTGAGCAGTATCAGGGAGGCAGTGACAGGGAGGCAGGGTCAGGGATGTAATGAGTGACAGGGAGGCAGGGTCAGGGATGTGAGCAGTGACAGGGAGGCAGGGTCAGGCAGGGATAGGGAGGTAGGGTCAGGGATGTGAGCGGTATCAGGGAGGGAGGGTCAGGCAGGCAGGGTCACGCAGGCAGTGACAGGGAGGGAGGATCAGGGAGGCAGTGACAGGGAGGCAGGGTCAGGGATGTGAGCAGTGACAGGGAGGCAGGGTCAGGGATGTGAGCAGTGACAGGGAGGCAGGGTCAGGGTTGTGATCAGTATCAGGCAGGCAGTGACAGGGAGGCAGGGTCAGGCAGGCAGTGACAGGGAGGCAGGGTCAGGGATGTGAGCAGTGTCAGGGAGGGAGGGTCAGGCAGGCAGGGTCAGGCAGGCAGTGACAGGGAGGCAGGGTCAGGGATGTGAGCAGTGTCAGGGAGGGAGGGTCAGGCAGGCAGGGTCACGCAGGCAGTGACAGGGAGGCATGGTCAGGGATGTGAGCAGTGTCAGGCAGGCAGTGACAGGGAGGCAAGGTCAGGGATGTGAGCAGTGACAGGGATGCAGGGTTAGGCAGGCAGGGTCAGGGATGTGAGCAGTGTCAAGAAGGCAGGGTCATGCAGGCAGGGTCAGGAGGCAGGGTCAGGCAGGCAGTGTCATAGATAGGTGAGTGTAGAGGCTGGCAGTGTCATGGATTGGTCAGGGTGGAGACAGGCAGTTTCAGGGCTAGGTCGAGCTTGGAGGCAGGGATTTTTAGGGAGGGAGTTTCAGAAATGAGCCTCAGTTTCAGTGACAGGGCAAAACCTGAGCCTTCCCAAATGTACTCACTACTGTATGTGTGGCAAACACTCCTGGGGGCACCTCCTGATGTTCGCAAGTCATGATAAGGTTCATCTCATCGGGCAGTTGGCATGTGGAGATGCACCATGTTAACATGAACTCACAAAAACAACAGACGAAGCTAGTTCAGAAATAGCTGTAGAACATATGTTATCATGTGTCTCACCTTGTATCTTTTCCTACAACAGCCCATAATGATTTTATTCAAACATAATCCAGAAATCAGTATCCATATATAAAGTAGTCTGCATCAATGAATTGTGGTTCCAATATGTACATTTAGCAAATCTTCAGTAAACTTTATGCAATCTGTCACAATCAAAGGACTGACTGACTGACTGAGTTTAGTTTTACGCCGCTTTAGCAATATTCCAGCAATATCACGGCGGGGGACACCGGAAATGGGCTTAACACATTGTGCCCATGTGGGGAATCGAACCCGGGCCTTCGGCGTGACGAGCCAATGCTTTAACCACCAGGCTACCCCACCGCCCCACACAATCAAAGGAAATAACTCTGCACCCAATATTTCAAATTATCCCCTTCCCCCCTCCTTATCCATTGGCTTGAATACCCCACACAACCATGTATTGTTTCTTTTACAGACACTCAGCACACATTATCAACACACCCACCTCCATTCCATATAACATGTTATCCCACTTTGACACAGGCCTGGGTATCCTTAAACAAAACAAAACTACATATAAACCAGGGCCTATATTTTCCAAGCTCTCTTAGCGCTAAGATAGTCGTAAGTGCCATACATTAACATTAACTTACGACTATCTTAGCGCTAAGAGAGCACATACAACTGACCCATCTATATATGGCACAGGTTCCAGACATCAATCACCAGTATTCACACCATTCCTGGACCACAGCGTATCCACCCCAACAGGAACTGTTTATGTCATTACGAGATATGACCATGGCATCCTGCCATAGTACCAATCCTGACACAAGGTCCAGGAAAATGGAGAGGAATCACCTTAGGGGTGGTTATGTCATCATTTGTACTGGGAAAAGTGCATGTCTGAGAACCCCTTAGTTGTTGTTCAGAGCAATTTGACAGATTTGGGCTACAGTCATCTGATAGTGGGACCAGTGTCATTTCTGTTTTTGTCAAGTTCATGGCCCAGCACTGACATTCCAACTGGAAAATGGCCCACCTCACCTGGCAAGGTAGCTATGGCTTGTCTTTAACAGAACAATGTTCAAGTACAGCCTTAGCCTGCTGCAAATTCACTGGATCTATCCCTTGTATAACGTATGGCATGAGATTGACATATGATCACCATTTGGCAGCAAAGTAACCAAGCTTATGGCAAGCCATTCCACAGACCTTCCATGCCCATTTGATCTACTCTATGCATCGGCAATGCACTGCTGTTCTTACAGCTCACCTAGCCGTTACTGAGTTCGTGACATTCCCTGCATTTGGACTCAATGTACATTATACATGCTGTTCTGCCCATCTGTTATGATCTCAGTATCCACCTATAAAAGTTCATACGGAAACTTTTATAGCTCAGTTTAGAAAGAATTTTAACAATGCGGTTTCTTTTGTGGCTGGTAATATGAATACCGGTATGCAGAGAAGTGTCATTTGGGGAGTGTATGTTTACAGTGTGATAAGAACAGGTAGTTAATGCCCATGTCACACTTGTTGGTTGATCCTAGGAATCTGGAAAAATGCACAGCAACTTGAAAACAACAGAAACAGCAACTTGAAGGTGGTTTAAGCCAAAACACATCCCTGAATACAACAAACAGTTTAACTCATGCACATGAAATACATGTTCCCAGTCACCTAGCTATCTAGGATAGTCACTAGGTTGAGTACTAAAGAGTTAACCCATTCCCTAAACCACACCATCAGTTTAACCCATGCACATGAAATACATGTTCCCAGTCACCTAGCTACCTAGGATAGTCACTAGGTTGAGTACTAAAGAGTTAACCCATTCCCTAAACCACACCAGCAGTTTAACCCATGCACATGAAATACATGTTCCCAGTCACCTAGCTATCTAGGATAGTCACTAGGTTGAGTACTAAAGAGTTAACCCATTCCCTAAACCTCACCTGCAGTTTAACCCATGCACGTGCAATACATGTGCCCTGTCACCTAGCTACCTTAGTTAGTCACTAGCTTGAGTACTAAAGAGTTAACCCATTCCCTAAACCACACCAGCAGTTTAACCCATGCACATGCAATACATGTGCCCTGTCACCTAGCTACCTTAGTTAGTCACTGGTTGAGTACTAAAGAGTTAACCCATTCCCTAAACCACACCAGCAGTTTAACCCATGCACATGCAATACATGTGCCCTGTCACCTAGCTACCTAGGATAGTCACTAGCTTGAGTACTAAAGAGTTAACCCATTCCCTAAACCTCACCAGCAGTTTAACCCATGCACGTGCAATACATGTGCCCTGTCACCTTGCTACCTTAGTTAGTCACTAGCTTGAATACTAAAGAGTTAACCCATTCCCTAAACCTCACCAGCAGTTTAACCCATGCACCTGCAATACATGTGCCCTGTCACCTAGCTACCTTAGTTAGGCACTAGGTTGAGTACTAAAGAGTTAACCCATTCCCCAAACCTCACCAGCAGTTTAACCCATGCACGTGCAATACATGTGCCCTGTCACCTAGCTACCTTAGTTAGTCACAAGGTTGAGTACTAAAGAGTTAACCCATTCCCGAAACCTCACCAGCAGTTTAACCCATGCACATGCAATACATGTGCCCTGTCACCTAGCTACCTTAGTTAGTCACTAGCTTGAGTACTAAAGAGTTAACCCATTCCCTAAACCACACCAGCAGTTTAACCCATGCACGTGCAATACATGTGCCCTGTCACCTAGCTACCTTAGTTAGTCACTGGTTGAGTACTAAAGAGTTAACCCATTCCCTAAACCTCACCAGCAGTTTAACCCATGCACATGCAATACATGTGCCCTGTCACCTAGCTACCTAGGATAGTCACTAGCTTGAGTACCAAAGAGTTAACCCATTCCCTAAACCTCACCAGCAGTTTAACCCATGCACGTGCAATACATGTGCCCTGTCACCTTGCTACCTTAGTTAGTCACTAGCTTGAGTACTAAAGAGTTAACCCATTCCCTAAACCTCACCAGCAGTTTAACCCATGCACCTGCAATACATGTGCCCTGTCACCTAGCTACCTTAGTTAGTCACAAGGTTGAGTACTAAAGAGTTAACACACCCCTAAACCACACCAGCAGTGTAACCCATGCACATGCAATGCATGTGCCCTGTCACACAGTTACCCAGGTTCGTGCTGAAGGGTTCTCACTGGTTAAAAATCAAGGTTGGATGGCACTGGGTGGCTGACTGCCTGGTACTGCATTTGTGCATCTCTTTAGCTTTGTGTCCAACTGTTTAGATTAGGCAGGACCTGAAACAAGTGTAAAGCAAATATTTTCTTGTCCTACATGGGGTAACGTTGCACAGCTGCATTTGTTTCAGACAGGGAAAGATATCCTTCAACCCTGCACCGATTTGCCTGAACTCTCAATCCTAATTGTACATTATTATACTCAAACTACATATCAGAATTAACCATTAACCCAGTGAATCACCTACCCAGCCAGCCAATGAGAGAGTCACCTACCTAACCAGCCAAGGTGTGGGTCACCTACCCATGACTTACCTGAATGAGTTACCTGGCTAGTCACTGCCTAGCCAATCAGGTCAATCTATCTTTATTTCATACTGAAAGGCCACAGGCCTGTAGTACATTGTTTAATCATGTGCGGGTAGTAGAGCATTCTTTCGGAGAATAGAAGCTTTATGGATATATATGGACAATCTTTCTATATGTGTTTTACTGGAATTATTCATCAATGATATAAACTTATGCATTTCAGGATGTACATAATAATATTTCTTTATATATCTATTTCTTAACGCTAAGTATGCTGGGCAAACACATAAAAAGTGAAACTCATCTTCGACCTCGTGTAAGTTGCACATTTGGCAGATTCTACTTTCTTTCTCAATACCTTGGTATCTCCCAGTTTCAACATATAAATCATGCGCGGAGCAGCGGAAACTCGCCAATGAAGATTTATATTTCCTTATGGTCAAGACTGAAAGATAATGTTCTGCATATATGGAATCTTTTATCATTTTGTAGTAAAAAACATTTATTAGATAATGAGAGACTAGTTAACCAATTTTGAAGGAATATATCTTTAAGTCTTTGTTTAACTGTACAGACAAAGTGAGAATGAGATTCTACAAATTGTTCATGCCAGGCATTGCCGAAGCCGATAGATGATAATAACTGCTGTTTTATGTCTGTTACCCAATTACGTTTCCCATGGCTATCATATAGTATCATCATTTCATAACATTTTCTTGGCAATCTGTGTGAGGGGCATTGTTAATAATTTCAACCAATATCTAATAATTTTACATTTGATTCTATGTACAATGGATATCTTCCACATTCTCCGTAGACCATACAAGTTGACGTGGCTGTTTTACGCCCAGAAATTTCTTGCATGCATACAAATTGACTTTTTCTATGACATCAAAAGTTTTAAAACCCATACTTCTGCACCATATAACAAAATTGGGTATATTTTGGCGTCAAATATTTTGAAAAAAGACTTGTAAGACAAGTCGCCTAAAATATGCATATATTTTATTATACCTATTAATATTTTCTTGGCTTGTATAGCTGCCTGTGATGTGTGTACTGCCCATGAAAGATGATTGGTAAAATGCACGCCTAAGTATTTATACGAAGTGGTTGTTTCCAGTCTATTTCCCTTGAAGAACCATTTTTCATTATTGGCTAGCTTACCTCCATTTTTAAAAACAACTATCTTTGTTTTAGGCTGGTTTACAGTTAGTTTCCATTTATCACAATAATTCTCTAGTTCAATAATTTCTCTTTGTAGGCCTTTAATTGTGCTTGAAAACAATATGATGTCATCGGCAAATAGTAACAGGAATATTTGCATTATATCTGGATGTAATTGGATACCGTTTGAACAGTTTTCTTGGATTTGGGTTGCTAGTTCATTTATGAAAAATGTAAATAGAAAAGGGCTTAATATACAGCCTTGTCTGACTCCTAATTGGCTCGGAAATGTATCTGATAATTCATTATTACTCCTTACACAAATTTTCACATGTGCATATATGCTCCGCAGTAATTTTCCCATTTTGCGACTGACACCATGCTTGTCTAAGAGATTCCATAGTTTGTTCCTGTTTATTGAATCGAACGCCTTGGAAAAATCTACAAATAAGGCATAGAATTTTTGTCCCTTTTGATTAAGATATTTCTGAATAATAGAATGTAAAACAAATATGTTATCAATAGTAGTGTATCCCTTCCTAAAGCCAGTTTGTGATTCTGTTATCTTGTCTAGAGTATCTACCCATTTAACTAACCTCTTATTTATGGTAGATATAAATATTTTGCTAAATATGCTTAATAACGTTATGCCCCCTATAATTTTCAGGATTGTTTACGTCTCCGTTCTTATGTATAGGAACTATACCCTATCACCGTCAATCGCGCCAACCTCCTTGGTTTGATCAAGAATGCGGCAAACTTAAGTCCGAAAAATACAGACTTTTAAACTATTTCAGAAAGCATAAGTGCGATTCTAACCTCGATTCTTATTTGAATGCAAAACACAATTTTAAAAAATGTTGCCAATTAAAAAAAAAGATAATTATTTAGCCAAAGCTGCAGATGATATTAAAATAGCAGCAAGAAATCCTGACTGTAAGATATTTTGGAGCACGTTAAAACGCCATCTTCAGAAAACGGTTCTCACAGATAATATTTCTCCGTACCAATGGTATCATTACTTCAAAGGTCTCCTTTCCTGTAGAGATACGAAACTGCTTTCAGATTTTGATAAATCAGTGTATGATTTTGTCTCAACGCATAACTGTGATGAGTGTGAAGAGCTTTCATTCTCGCATGATGTTTTGTCAACTCCAATTACCGAAGATGAGGTAATAAAATCTATAAATGAATTGAAATGGAATAAGGCAGCGGGGCATGACGGTATCCCTCCCTCATTTTACAAATCTACTTTTACTTCTTTAGTGTCATATTTGAAAGATTTATTTAATGTAGTTCTTGATAGTGGTAAATTCCCATCGGTATGGAATATAGGTATGATTGTCCCTTTATTCAAGTCTGGGAGTGTATCAGAACCATGCAACTATCGTGGAATATCTCTTCTAAACATTTCTGGAAAATTATTTGCTAATATATTAGAAAAGCGTTTACGCGCCTGGGTTGATCTAAACGAGCTACTTGACGAGGCTCAAGCTGGTTTTAGATCCGATTATAGTACAACTGATAATTTATTTATATTACAGTCATTATGTACAAAGTACCTCTGCAGACCAAAGGGAGATTCTATTGCGCTTTCATCGACTTTAAGAAAGCCTTTGATTTTGTTGACCGTAAGAAATTGCTATTTATGTTACATACCAAAGGATGCCATGGCAAAATGTATAATATTTTAAGAAGCATGTATGACTCTGTTGCAGCCTGTGTTAGAACTAATTCTGGCAACACTGAATCGTTTAACACTTCCGTTGGTGTGCGACAAGGTTGTGTAATAAGCCCCGTACTCTTCATCTTCTTTATTAATGAACTTGTAGATGATATGTATAAATCGTGTAATAATGGAATATTTATTTACTCCCCAAATCAAAGATTTACTTTTGCTTCTCTTTGCAGATGATATTGTTACGTTTTCATTCATGGTAAACGGACTGCAGAGACAGATAAATATTCTTCAAACATTTTGTGACACATGGGGACTAGAGTTGAATATGGAAAAATCTAACATAGTTGTCTTTAGAAATGGGGGTATAGTGGCACATTCTGAAAAATGGTTATTCCGTGGCAAAAGTATTAATGTTGTTTCATATTATAAATATTTGGGTCTTCTATTTTCCAGCCGATTAAATTGGTCCATGGCATCTAAAACCCTTGCAGCACAAGCTAAGAAGGCATTATTTCCTATTTTTAAACTGTTTAAGGCTAATAAGTTTATTTCATTTGACTCAGCTTGCTTACTTTTGACACTAAAATAGCACCAATATTGTTATATGGATCTGAAATTTGGGAGTAAACTATTTCGAAGCTATAGAAAATGTGCATGCATCATATTTTAAAGATTTCTTACTGTAGGTAAATTTGCTTCCAACAAAGCCGTACTTGGCGATACAGGCCGCTATAGCATGCATATTGAGAGTCAAATGAGAGCTATCAGATACTGGATTAAACTTATAAGAATGCCTGATTATCGCTACCCCTATCAAAGCTATCAATTATTATTATCCCTAGACAAACGTGGAAAGTATTCTTGGGCTTCTGGTGTCCGAAATGTGTTATTTTCAAGCGGGTTTTCTTATGTTTGGTTTAAGCAGGATGTTGGTGATATAAAAATGTTTTTGTTAACTTTTAAGCAACGAATAAAAGATATATATATTCAGAATTGGCACGCATCAGTAAATTCATCGAGTTTTCTAAGTCATTATTCACAATTTAAATCGATGTTCGGACCTGAAAAATATATTAGGGTCCTTAATGATAAGTCCCTTTTAAGAAATTTTTGTAAATTTAGAATCTCTCTACATGCCTTTAAAATACAGCGTTATAGAAAAAGATAAAAATACATTGGAAGATTTATCATGTTCTCATTGTTCTTCTGGTAAAACTGAAGACGAACGTCACTTATTATTAGACTGTGAGGCATTCTCTGCTGGCCGAAAGAAGTATCTAAAATGCTTTAATGATGCCCCACAAACGATATATAAAATACTTAATTCTAATAACGATGACACTATTAAATCAGCTGCCATTTTCATAAAACATTTGATGTCCATCCTTAAATCACATGTAAAACCATAATTTCGTGTCACGTGACCAATATTTGTTAAAATGAAAATTCAACTGTACTATGGGCCACTGTGCCTACATTACTGAATAAAACCTGTCTGTCTGTCTGTCTGTCTGTCTGTATTATGCCAGTGGACCAGGATTTTGGTAAGTATCCCTTTTCCAAGATGATATTAAATATCAGTTCTAAGAGTGGCAATAGTAAATCTGTAGAGTGTTTAAAAAAATTCAGAGATGGTAGAGTCTATAAGATTTATTAGCTTTTAAGTTTGTGATACTATGAAGTATTTCCTCCTTAGTAATTGGTGAGTCAAGAATATCTTCTACGAAGCTTGGACTAAAATCAGAACAATCAGAATTGTTCACTTCTGTGTCAGACTGGTCATGTAATGCACTGTCATTATCCGAGTGGGAGAACAGGTCACTGAAATAATTGTACCAATCTTCAATTTGTATATTATTTCGCGAATACGCTTGTCCGTTTATTTGTTTCAGCATAGACCAGAATGTTTTTGAATCATTTATACAATTCTCTAATTTTTGTTGTTTTACCTTAAAATATTCGTTTCGCTTTTGTCTACAAAGTGCATGGTATGCATTCCTACTGCTGTGATATTTTTCTAAAGTGTCTGCGTCTTTCGATTTCCTAAATTTGTTTAAATATCTACATCTTTCTTTTTTAAGTTTCCTGCATTCAGTATCGTGCCATGGATTTTCATATTGTCTACTGGTGTGATTTATTTTTTTCATGTCGCTAGCAGCTATGCAAAGAGCTTCAGTTATCAAATCAACACTTCTATCGATATCAGTAAATGCTGAATCCAGAGACTCACTAAGTAGTCCTTGTACATTGTCTGAAAGAATATTTTGTCTAAAGTGGTCTAATTTATCCTGTTCCCAAATAAATCTAAAGGATTTCTTTTCATTGTATTGGGGGTACCCATATGAGTGAAGCGCACGTAAACACAAAGTAAGAGGTAGATGGTCAGATTCTGTGCGGGACGGGATTGAAAAGTCACGAACACTGTCAAACAGTGATGACGACGCTATAGCATAGTCTACTAAACTCGTGCCATTAGCACCAATATAAGTAGAATCACCTACTTCAGCATCCGATCCACATCGACCATTCATTATGTGGATATTTAATACAGAGCACAAATTGAGAAGGCACTTCCCAAACTTATTTACAATTTTATCAGTAGAAAATCTCTTAATGTTAAAATAGTCTATAAGAAAATCCCACATTGAGCTTTCTCCACCTTCTGTGCATTCAATAATGTCATCTTCAACAAAGTCTAGGTCTGTACCTGTACGGGCGTTATCCAGGCAGCCTAGCCAGCCAGGTACCCATGCGGCAAGTGGGTAAGTATTCTTGGCCCAGAGCTGTTTGATAAGAGAAAGGGTCTTACGGATAATGATAAGGGTTGGATAACCTAGCCTTACCTGATATAAGCCTCACCCTCACATCCCAGGCAGCGAAACCTGTGAAAAAAGTACCACGAGATAGGATACTCACGAAAACAGGTGACAGGGCGAAACACATGTCACCTGCAACTATCGACACCGTCGGGTACCAAAACACGAACAGACAATTGATAGAAAATTACAACTCGAGTCCATACAGCACAATGTTCAAGTTTATATATACAGCAAGAACTGTGATTACCCACTTATCAAAAATACGTCTTCTCTTGTGAGCTCACTTCTCACTCTAAGGAAGACAACAGTGCCATATCAGCCTGTCACTGTCAGCTCATAATTCAACTCTTGCAGAAACCGGTGTTAAACATTCTTATCAATCTAAATCGTTAGACTATGATGGTACACTACCTAATGCACAAACTGCATCGGTCTCTCTTGCCTGACACTTGGTATTTGTCGCACATGACCGAATCATCATTGGGCAAGAAATCTCCAAAATCTTCTTGCGTGGTGGCCATTTTTAATCGCAGACTGGATCCTCCGCTTGGTGTCGCTGCACTCAATCGTCCAAAGCTGGGTCCCGTCTCTCATATTGCAATATACGATAATACAGCGCACTGTGGTAGCCGAGAACCAACAAAGTTCCAGTCTGTCCTAGATGGGAACCAGTCTAAGAGATTCGCAGATTTCTACAGATTTTGCCCCCAAAATGCCCTCTGTTAGAATTGTGCATAATTGCATTTAAAAACTTTTAAAACTCTGGTAAAATCACCGTAAGTGTGTTGGTATATTTCCTCCTTGAATTTATTCAGGAATAGTCTGAAAACATAACGCATTTCACCTATAACCGTTCATATTAAACGCCACTGGTGAAGAATGTCTGGAGGAAATATACGACTGTACATATACAGGAGGATATATAGTGTTGCACTGCGCCTGTGCTCAATGACGCTTCTGTTAGATCCTGTTCGTCATCGAAACCATTTGCTGAAATTGTTTCTCACATTTATGTATGTGTGTGCGTGTGCGCGCGCGTGTGTACTCAGAGAGAGAGAGAAAGAGAGAGAGTGAGCACTCAGCAATATTCCAGCAATATTGCGGTGGTCTATACCAGATAATCAAGTGATCAACAGCATGAGCATCGATCTGCGCAATTGGGAACCGATGACATATGCTCCTTGATATCTCGCTAAACTTCTCACTGTGTACTCCCCTACCAGAACTCTCAGATCTCAAGACCAATGTCTTCTCTCCATTCCCAAAGTTCTCCTTTTTTCCTTTGGCAAGTGGTCTTTCCAGTACGCTGGTCCTACTCTGTGGAATTCTCTCCCTCTCCACATAAAGCAGTCTCCCACATTGGAACTTTCAAAATTAAGTTGAAGACTTTCTTTTTTTCCAAAGCCTATCCCTAAAATCAATCTTTCTGTCACCAATTTCAATGTATACGTATTTTACTATTTTATCCTCTGTATGCATTGTATGTATGCTTTTATGTAGCGCCTTGAGCATGTATCAGTGGGTGGAAAATGGCGCTCTAAAAATATCCATTATTATTATTATTATGTGTCAACCAACACTTTAGCCCTTTTAATGATATCCGAGATGATGGGGACCAAGAGTCACCTAGGATTCGAACCCACGATTAGCGGACCCCCATATGTTTATAGAAACACTAGCTGTTTTAAGTGTTAGTGTCTCCCCCAACCGGCCGCTTCACCATCTCGCCTGTTATGTGCCGGGTTTGAGTCTCCACCATACAAACCATGGTGAGGGCGGAAGGGTTTTTACTTGATGATATCATTAAGATATTTGTTGCGCAGTGGAATTGAAAACTAAACTAACTAAAATTAAAGTACCGAAATATGCTATTTGGGGAACTAAACGTGACTCTCTTGATTAAACTGATGAAATACAAATGGGGAACTAAACGTGAATCTCTTATAACAAATGTTAATGAGGCAAGAAACTTAATGTGATACCTTAAATTCTATTATCTACACTATCTGGCTCTATTGCAGCGTAAGTCTACTATATACAGTATCTAGCTCTATAGCAGCTAGCTATATGGAACTTCTATTTCGATGCACTAATACATTCTTTCTATCAGACTATCTAAATCCTACTTTGACGAGCTGTCACCCAACTCAAGAAACAACCGAACTCAAGGGAAACCTGAACTCAACTGACGTCTAAACTCAATTAGGCTTAACCCAAGCCTAACCTGTACACAACTGACCGATTCGGCCGTTTCCCACGTGGTCAAGAGCACGTGGTCTGACTGCACGTGAAAAGTCATGCTTCTCGGTGAGCCACGAAGCATGGTGCGTTTACGCGATCTGTTCCAGCTGTTTTGTCTTCAGACCAATATTCTCAAAATGACAGAAATGCAGTAAGGAATCTATTTACAAAACAGTAACCAGATACCAGGGCAAATAACTACAAGGATTTTAGAAAATCCATACATTTTGTGAGTACCCTTCCCTTGAGTCAGGTATCGTTTGTATATAAATATGGGATGTAAGAAATCATAATGATTCTGACTAGCTGTGTATTATTTTATGTTTTTATCGTTTTCAATGTACGTAAGAGAAGAAGCCAGAAATGTCGATAATTACCCTTGTTGTTCTGTGTGATTTTGTGTCAGTCATGGCGTCACGCTGCACAGAAACTTTGACAATTTCGTATAAACATATCTCATTACTGTATTGGATCTATTTATAATTGGCAATTTCTTGCTACGACACCCTTTCCATGCAATTTTTTAAAGTATTGAGCAAATGCATGCTACGAATAGACGAATAGATGTCTGTAAATTTGAGAATTTGAGTTAACAAGACTGTAGCACGAGAAGTCTCAAAATTTCCTAAGCAAGCCAGATCAACTACATTTAGAGGTGGATGCAGTGAAATGGTCCGACTGAATTTAAGGATAGGGTCATCTATTTATTACTTATATTAACAGTGTTACCGCCACACATAAATGACTCAGTTTGAGGCCTGACGGAGTTATACCCCTTTCTTTCGTGTCATATACCTCTCCGTCTGTTTTGTTTGCGGAACATTATGGAAACTCGGTTTCCATTTGATATTTCATCAGTCTCTTTAGAATTTGGGCAGTATCTAACAGTTTATATTAAGCTTTCAAATAAACCTTTAGATGTTCACCTTCCACAAATAACAAAAAATACAAAAGTGACTTTGAACTCTTGGACTACTGTACAAAATGTGGTGTACACAGTCAATATAGCCTATCAACGCCAGAGAGTCTTCACTATCCGTCGTTAGCCTTGCTCCAAGGCTCTATAGTGCATGTAATTCTACCTTTCCAACAGGCAAATCTCGATAAACGTTCACTTCATCTAAGGATTCCAGTCTTTAATAGTGACAACATGTTCTGATTATTGATATTATTCTAAAAGACTATTACAATGCGAAAGCTAATTACCATTGTATAAGAGATTTGTGCAAGTGTAATCTCTCGTATTAGGCGAAACAAAGACAAGGCGATGAAAGTCGCCCGGGTAAATCATGCCCCTGCTGAAGCAGTTAAAAATAATTTTGTTATTGATATCAAGGCCAGAAAACAACCAGTCTCCACTATCCTCCCTTAGCCTTGCTCCAAGGCAGTGTACTGCGTGCAATTCTACCTTTTACTAGTCAAGTCTAGATACGTGGACAATGCATCTAAGGATGCCAGTCCTAAATAGCACAGCATGTTCTGATTATTTATTTTATCCTTAAAGATTACTGCCAAAGCTATTAGTTACTGTCTTGGAGACTTGTACAAGTCAATCCCTCGTAAAATGCGAAACAAAGACAAGGCGATGAAAGTTGCCCGGGTAAGTCCTGTCCCTGTCCCTTAAGTATGTCTCGTGATGTTCTGCTAATGGTGAAGTCCCCACATCATGTTCAGATGGTATAAATGCCGCAATACCAAAGCCTGTGACTTATGAACTAGGGTATCATTTTGGCATAAATTGGTACTTGCTGACGTATTTAAAATATTCCTGCATTTAATTTCTTTTGAATTACATTATTTCGCCAAGTATCACACACATTAAAGAAGGCATAACGGTTTTCTATATTCATATACATGTACATAAGTAAAACAATGTATCACAAGCAACAATGTACGAGTACATGACAACTGATTGTAAAGGTATCAAAATCAATTTTCATACACAGCATTGTAGTTAGTTAGATAGAGAGATAGACTGATAGATAGATAGATAGATAGATAGATAGATGAATGGATGGATGGATGGATGGATGGATGGAGGGAGGGAGGAGTTGTCCACTTGATAAGGGTTCTATCTTCAGCTTTATATTCGACACCGTGTCGGCAGGAAGTGGCCTTGTCTCTATAATGAAGAGGAACAAACTCGGTAATTCAATCTAGCTTCCACAGACCAGTGGTTGATAGAGTGAATGAGTAAGTGAGTGAGCTGTCCACTTGTTTGGGGTTCTATCTTCAGAAAGATTTATGATTCATCCACGACGCCCTGTCAGATATCACATGTATCACATTACAGGAAACGCAACGGCACAGAGAGCAATGAGCCTGTTTGCGGTTCAAACACAGAATGTACGAAATATGGACAAAATGGCCGAAAATGTATCTTTACAGATGGTTTGGAGAGTGCACACCTGTTGGTAAACAGCATCCAAACTTGAGAAACATGTACTGGAACCATCCAACCAGATATGGCACAAATATCAGATGTATTCATGCATTTCAGCAAAGGCTAAGACACCCCCCAACAGGGTGCCTGTCTGGGTTTTACAGATGGTTTGAAGAGTGCAGACCCCTTGTTACAGAGCATCCAAACTTGAGAAACGTGTGCTAGTACCATCCAACCAGATGTGGCACAAATGCCATTGCTGAAGTTAAGCAAATACATTTCGTTGTATATCTTACATTTACTTGTTTTTTACACTTAAGTGTAACAGCAGAACTCTCTACATTACACATACAAGTAAATGCAGTGAAATAGAACCACTGAATTTGAATTTCAGATAGGGTCATCTATTTATTTGAATCACCCGTGAAGGTCCGGGTTATAATTGATCTTCAGCAACCCATGCTTGTCGTAAGAGGCGACTAACGGGATCAGGTGGTCAGGCTCGCTGACTGGGTTGATACGTCATCGTATCCCAATAGTGTAGATCGATGTTCATGATGTTGATCCCTGCTTTGTCTGGTCCGGACTCGATTATTTACAGACCGCCGCCATATAGCTGGAATCTTGCTGAGTGCGGCGTAAAACTAAACTCACTCACTCTCTCACTCACTCACTCACTCACTATCTATTTGTATTTGTCAGAATAACAAAAAGTATTACCGCCTCACATAAATGGCTCAGTTTGAAGCAAAGCGGAGTTATCGCCCTTTCTTTGTGCTTGTACATACACGTCGCTTTGAGAACTTGGTGAAAACTCGGTTTCTGTCACGTAGTCAGTTGATTTATCTCCATCAAAGTGCAATGAAATCGGTAATTAAATCTAGCTTCGACAAACCAGTGTCAGTGAGTGAGTTGTACACTTCAGTAATGTTTAAATGTTATCTATGTTATTCTGTTTGTATCGCCATCAAAGTGCAATAATATCGGCTTTGACAAACCAGTCTTTGACAGAGTGAGTGAGTGAGTGAGTGAGTGAGTGAGTGAGTGAGCTTACCGACCACAGCATCCTCTGTCACTGTTAATTCAATTTGTTGGAAAATTGCTAGTACGCTTCATTTTTGTTGAAAGAAGCGTTAGAAAAATGTGCTAAAAACACCGTTCATTGTCTCTGTGCAGACCCGGGAATGAGCGGAAACCCAAGTACTTCACACGGTGAGTGATAGAATGACAAGCCAAGGGTTGAAAGTGTGACCAAGCCACTCCAAATAGAACTTCCACAAATTAGTTGGTTGATAGACAGATTGAGCTATTACAAACCAGTGGTTACTGGAACTGATTGAACTTCTACAAACAAGTGGTTGAAAGTGTGATTGAGCTTTAATGGGGTGTATATTTTATCCATGACACCCTGTTGGCAGTAAGAGGATTTGTATTTCCCTCAAACTGCACCAATATCGGTGATCAAATCCGTCTTTGATAAACCAGTGGTTGATGGTGTGAGTGAGTTGTCTTATATGCGATGCCCTGTGGTCAGTGAGTGACCTTTTATGTACACTAAGAGTAACAATATCACGATCCTCTGTAATTAAATCTAGCTTCCACAAACTAGCGTTTGATATATTTTGAGTGAGTTGTACACACATAAAGGGTTTTTATCTTCAGTAAGGTTTATATTTATCCATGATACCCTGTGTCAGAGGCCTTGTATCTAAATCAAAGTGTAATAATATAGCTTCCACAAATCAGTGGTTGATAATGTGAGTGAGTGAGTGAGTTATTTATGCACTTATTAAGGATTCTAACTTCAGTTGGGATTATGTTTTATGTTATGTCAAGCCACAATATATACTGAATGCATAACGTTGTCAGATCATTCCTCGCAAAACGTTCACTTTGAAAGACTGTGTCAGACAACTCGACATCCAGGGGCTAGATATCATTAACTATTTGAACTAGTAACAAAAACCATCAGGCATTATTGATTGTAAAATGTATGAGGAATTCAAGGAGGTGTGTGGTTAGAGCTGAGTGTTAAATATTTGTGATGTAATTGGCATCTCATGACCATAACATATGTTATATTTGGGATTACACTTTCTTAGTAAAGTACAAATTCTAGTACTTTTTGAGTTGAGTCCCATCTGGGATTCGAACTCACACCCTCAGAGTCAGGCACCTAATCGCCAGCACACAAAGTCAGCCTAACCTATTCAGCTACCGCGACTTTCACAAAAACGGAAGTCGGACAACTGGTAGTCTAGACTGCGGGCTTTGTGTACCCCTCTGATAGGTGTTAATTGGCACGGTTCCCACGACCGAAAGCTATGATTACACATTGTGTAATTACACATTGTGTAATCATAGCTTTCGGTCGTGGGAACCGTGCCAATTTTGTAATCATAGCTTTACTTTAATTGTACTTTACCTAAAAACAATATGTTAGGTCAGGAAACAGAGAAGTGGGGGAAGTGTTTGTCATTCTGGCATCCAGGGTTAACAAATATGAGATGTTTTGGGTGATGATTGTCATGTGTTTGATTTTGTATAGTGTGTGTTTTGTCACTTCAGAAAGGGTACATTTCCCTGTGGCACCAAAACGGTTAAATCTCAGTAGTAATCAGCTACAGATGTCCATCCTTCCCTTGTTAAACATTCCCAACACATGGTATTTGACAAATACTGTTTGTGCTGTATGGCACGATGCCAGCATTGCGCCGCTCTTTGTCATTTATCTGGCTGAAAGGCGGCCGGGCACCTCAGTGTATACCTGTGACGTCACCAGCAGTGTGACGTCCCTGTCACTGTACAAATGGCGCCATGTCATCTGGGTGAACCCAGTCTGAGGTCACAGAGTGCAGCGACATGTAAACAAACAGTTTGTTGTTGTCGGTTTCACAATTCGCGATATTCTCAGAACAAAATTAACACAGAAACATGTTAAGACGGGCGACGTTTACGTACAATCACTCACCGTTTATATTTACACTCACTTCACAACTTTCTTACCTGATCCTGCGAGGCTACAAACACAACAAAAGACAAAATGTCTGAAAATACATTTAACAAGTTTTATTTATATTCAGGAAGAAAAAATCGTGAACAAGACTGAACGCCGCACACCACGTCAGTGTCAGCAACGACATGTGCCCCGTCTCCGTCCACACCGACACCGACTTCAGTGTCCACCACGTGACTCCAGGAACTCCACCACTCGCTGATGTCCCGGGAGTCTCGCCAGGTCGGCCGCTGTCTGCCCGTGGATGTTCCTGGCGTTGATGTCCAGCACGTTCCTGGACACGATCAGCTTCACCGTCTCCAGGTCTCCACCCCAACAGGCGAAGTGAAGGACGTTGTTACCGACACTGTCCACCAGCGACACATCAGCCCTCTACCCACCAGGAACTCCACCACATCACTGTGTCCCCACACTGCTGCCATCACCGGTGTCCTGCTGTCTCCTCCTCCTCTCGTGTTGATGTCCACGTGACCCGCTGCCAGGATCCGCTTCACTGTCTCAGGTTACCGTCCTCGCTGGCGGAGTAGAGGCGGCGGCCTGCTGCTGGTGATGGGTCGCTGCAACACAAAGTAAACATCAGACATCTGTGTCACACATCTACAATGTCTTCATCATGTTGATATGTGACTCGGACATTGCTACATCGTTTAAACAATTCCATCATGGCTGACAACAATACAACATGGCGGGAATGTCAACATGTGGTTTCTGGGATAAACGATGGTGGGTTTAACACAGAACTTTCTGTTAGAGCCCGAAGTTGTAGCAATATTTTGTGCACGGCTGGAGAGTGATGATGTTTGTTGAACTTTACAAGTTGATAATGTCAGTACAAATGTTGTTTGGTATTTATTAGGGCAATAAGATATAAGGCTGCCTGCTGGGTTTTCCCACCTACCGTGTGGATCAGGGTCTTGTGTCGTCACTGGCGTTGGTGGAACCGTGGTGTTCGGGCTCGGGTCAGTCGAGGCTGAAACGGGGAATATGTTGTTCACAAAACTATATAACTACTAGCCTCTGTTTTCGCCTTTCCACATATGTTTTGCCATTCAATATTATGTATGATTTAATTCCAAATACATCTTTTATGGAAGAAGTATTAAATATATATGGTTCAATTTGATTTAGATAACTCTTCATCGAGACCGCGTGTCTATGCAGGAAAAAAGTAACCCTTCCTAAATTTAGCTTTTACAGTTTGAAATCCTGTGTTTGACACCATGAACGTCGATCGATATAATAGGTGAGACTCATCCCTCAAGTCAGATTCTCCACAGGTATATACATCAGCGTGTTAAATGGAAGAAAAATTAAGGACTGAGCTTCCTGCCAGCTGGGTTTTCTAACCTACCGTGTAGATCAGAGTCCTGTGTCGTCACTGGCGCTAGTGAAGCCGTGTTGCTCGGGCTCGGGTCAGTGGAGGCTGAAACAGGGAATATTTTAGTCAGAAAACTATACATAGCACATAAGCATTATAACTACTGGTCTCAGTTTTCGCTTCCCACAAATGTTTTGCCTTTCAATAGTATGTATGAATAAATTCAAAATACATCTGTTATAGCAGAGGTATTAAATGTTAATATGTGGTTTGATTAGATTGAGATACCTGTTCATAAAAGACTGCGTGTCTCTGCGGGAAAAAAAAGAACACTTCCTAGATTTATTTTTACAGTTTGAATCTGAAAATGTAATAAGCTGTGCGCTGACTGTGTTAACAGCTGAAATGCTCCTCTTTGCTGAAATGCTGTAACTGAATAGATTGGGTTTTTTTGTTTTGAAATATAAACATTAACGGTGAAACTAAAGAATCTGTTCGCCCCCAGGGTTGGGGCTAGGTTAGGAGCGAGTATATTCTACTGGGACTTCATGTATAAACATACATCATTATTCACATTATTACACTGAAAGTAAAAGTAGATAAAGAAACAAAAACATCTGCACTTATACCTACTCATAATTCCTCTTTATGGAATCACCACCTGCTTAGTCTGACTTCATTAATTGTGACTGGAATTCAAAATGCCTTTCCATTATGTCCCAACCCCACCCTCCCTGTTTAGTGTACATGGTATTTTAGGCAATTCCGTAAATTCTAATGTGAATCAGATTAAAACTTCAGTGTTTACTGTTTATCACGCAATGTGTAGGGCAGCATGGCAACTTTCCTCGGTGTTTGTGCAACACAGTTGTAATTCAGTGTCAGGCGAACTCTGTGAAGCATTTACAAAATGTCAGCATATCGAGCTATGCCGGCAGTGCAATTCTCACACAACTGTTAACTGAGGCGGAAACTGTAGCTGACACAACCGTACTTGTTGTTGGAAGCAGCGTGCTTTGATATACAACAAGTGTACAAACACGTGGCAGTGTGAGGTGGTAAAGATCGAAATGTCGGCTGTACGAGTGATTAACATTCCCCGTCTGTTTCAATATTAGAAATAAGGAGAAAAAAGCATAGTTGCCTTTCCATGATCTACTTTCTACTGCATATTTTAAAGGTTTTGCAGAAATACATGTGTTCCACATAAAGGTTTCAGTGTTAAAAGAGCTAAGCTACAGGCCTTCAATGTAAACATTCAGCTGATACTGTCAGGGGGGATGTATACTCATAGGACATAAGTATTCGTCAGGCGGCAAAATTCTCATAGACTTGCATGTTATTTAGTGTAGCTGTAATAATTTTCATTAATTCGGTTTTCGTTATTTGGTTGTCAAATTTTGCAGGTTGTTAGGAAATCATCTTGGTCACAGATACATAATTTCCATGTAATGTTCCTTCAAGTATTTTCCGCATTGTAGTTACATGAGCAACATATATATACAACCTTGTGTATTCTTTCCCCATAGACTGCCATGTTAAAAATTGTCTTAACCATGTGACACGCATCTATCAAAGTGCAGTCATTCTTGAAATACTGAATGGAAAATAGAACGGAAATTATGTCTTTGCAGCTGAGATGATTCATGACACGTGTTAAATATGAACAAGATCAAACGACAAATAAATTCAAGATGATGTTTCTAACAGCACCAAATTAACAATTAAGTCTATAGAAATTATGCACAATGACGAATACTTATGTCCAATGACTGTATTTCAATGCAATGCAGTAATTCATCGACACAGAACACAAGATATAGACCCGGGCCAGTTATATTCGGACACTTGACGTAACTTCCATAGGCTTGTAAACATGTTAATTTAATGTAGCATAAAGAGTTTTCGTGAATTTAATTTCTGTATGATCCAAGTCAAATTTTGCACATTTGTGAGGAATCATCTTACCTACAATCACATAATATCTGTTTAATTTTCCATTGCTTATTTATCGAATGACAACAATTTAATCAACACGTGTACAGTGCCGTGATTTCCTTTAACATGGCGGCCTATGGGATTGTGCATTGTGAAACTATAAGTAAGTTGATAAATGTGATGTCATTAGTTACATAGTGGTCGGGAGAATTGAACTGAAATTATGAGCGAAGAGCAGAGATGATTTCAAATTTTTCTGTCAAATTTGAGAAAAATCTATCCTAAACTCACCTCATGAAAATTATTTATGCTACATAGAGAATCTCACCCAAGTGTCTACTGATATCAATTATATCAACACGAGTTGATAAAGTTACAAATATCCGAGGCTTGCCGAGGATATTTTCACTTTGATCAACGAGTGTTGATATAATTGATATCAGTAGACACGAGGGTGAGATTCTGTTTATCATCAAAAATCATTCTTCATTAGTTTTCAATGAAAAATGTACATCTCTCAACACTGTACTACCATTAGACTTGCTGTACAGCGATGTCATAGCATTGTGACGTCATCAAGTTGATGACGTCATAGCATTGTCAGGGCACTGTACAAAATCTACTGTCAAAACGATATCTCCTAGGAGATATCATATGATCTCACACAAGCGATATCTCCTGTGGAACACAGTTTTGGATGATAAACTGAACTATCATGTAAGTCTATGGAAATGACGTCAAGTGTCCGAATATGCACATGAAACACATCCGTTACTTGACTGGAGAGATTTAAAATAATCTCATAAAATCTTCCGTGACTGTTGTAAATGTTATCAGTTCAAAGGATGAAACTTAAAAACTCCTGTAACCTTCATACTGCTTTACAGCAGTTGTACAATATAGATTTACACTATTTCGTCTAATTTCCTAAATCAGTTTAAAAGTAGAAACTGAGAACTTACCCACCAATAACGTACGTCCTGACACGAGCCACACATCTCACTGCTAGTTATAAAATGCCTTGACTGGCGAAACCACGGCCGCAAACCTGCCAGCTATGACGTCATTATGACGTTTCAGGTTAGGAGCATGGCAACGTTTGGCGCTTGACTGCTTGTACTGGGTGCCGTTCCCCTAACCGATCTTATCTGAGATCAATCTTAGCAAGTTACACCAATTTTACAATCCACTTAGCTACAAGTTACATACACCCGTTCCACTAACCGATCTTACGATCCGATCCAAGCTTAGATCGAGACTCTTTCGTGCGAGAGATAGAGAAATGCGTGGAAGTAGTTTTGGAACCAAGTGTAAACGTGGAGAAAAAACCTCGAGGAAAATATTAGGGTAGTGAGCACCTTGGTTTCAGGGGCAAGTGCGGCTGAACGCCTCTACCTAGACTCACAACTAGTCTCTGAAATGAACATACTTTACTGAAAAATGTTCATAGTAAAACATAAGTGAAATATAGATCTAATGAAAAGGAGCGCTGAGACTTTCTTCATTTTCAGACCTGAAGCTGAGGAAATCTAGACTTGCCCGATTTTCTAGACATGCGTTGGCTTTCTTGGATATATTTGCTTCAGAGTCTGTACGACAGACTAGCCTCTACCTCGCCACAAGCATATCATCTGATAACGTATCTAGAATGTAGTCAAGTCAGTGGTCTTGAAAAACACGCGGCCTGCCTTAAAATTTAGAATCCCCTACCAAATAAGCGCACGTGAAATCAAACATATTTGTATCTTTTTGTTTCAGAAAATTGTTCACTTCACGGACCGTCCCTATTCTTAACCATGACGTTGTAATATTGTTGTACAAGTGCATTACACCGACACCCTCGGCTGTGTTCCCATGACGACAGTGGTCAGACTGGCCTGACATTTGTAAGGCTTCAGTGCAGTGTTTGTTTACATCACAGAATTAACAAATTCATTTCATGGTAAGTAAAGAATTAGGGGACGCTCACGGTGAAATGCTCGCTTTTCTTCTTCTTTATATAGACTATGAAAGCCACCACTTTGGTTTCTCTATGATTGATTTTAGCTATTCCAAGTTGCTCCGAATAGGGATTTTAGGGTTTACGATTGGCGTAGAGCTAAGATCGGTTAGTGGAACGGAAACCTGATCAACAACTCAGTATGGAAATATTTCTATCCAACCGAAGTTTGGCCTCCGGTTTTATCAGATGAAAGTAACATATAACAACACACTTCGTGTTAACTGTGCCATGACATGGACACGAATTGTATAAAAAGGGTATTATGACGTATTTTTAAAGTTTGTGGTGCTGTATTATTTCCCTAATTCACTGACTGTTTGTATCCAAACTTCTAATATTTGTTTACAAAAAACATACATAAATGTCCATTTCAATGCATATGTGGATATCATAAGGCTCCAGAGGCTTAGATCTAAATAGCTGTGATCATTCTGTCAAACAAGACCATTGTCGTTCTTACACTGAGTTTAAAACACTAAAAATAGCCTTGAAAGACAATGTGTGGTCTTCTGAGTTTATTTTAAGTGTAGACTGCATGTATTCCTCAACTCAGTCCACGTGTGAAATATATACCGAGAAATTTATGTTCATATACAGTATCCATAACACGTCCGCCTATTCAGAATACCATGGTTTTAGTCAGTTCCCTGTTAATTTCACGCAATGATTATTGAGTCTGGGGTTGTACATGGATATATAATAAGATGAGATATGCAGCGTTTGCCCCACATATATAACCTCATTCCTGGATTTGTCCATGGGTATATAATAAGATGAGATATGTAACGCTTGCCCCACATATATAGCCTCATTACTGGATTTGTACATAGGTCGAGGGGGGACAGCGGGAAGTGTGGCTATTTCATTGTAATGATGAGCCAGCCTGATGAACCGAGTTCGAGTCCTGGGTGGTGGTGGGTCAGCGTTGGGGCAGTTCGAGCTGCATTAGAGGGGCGGGGCCCTGGATCTTACTGGAGCACTGTAAGGCTAAACCGACAAAGACGACGGCACATGTTTATGATTGTAACTCATATCCAGTGTGTTTCAGTGTGCTGTCTCAGTTATTCACTGATCTTAACTGTCTTGTTTGACTGATTTAGTTCTCTACGTTACGATGTGCTAACAAAAATGTGGATAAGGGGCACAAGAAGCAACAAATGTCCTGTGAACCCCGTGTTAACATGACCAGTAAACATTACGTTGCCATGTCAGGAGGTGCAGGCCACTTTTATACTCGACTGCCGATTTGGCCACATATCCCACCTGTGCCCGAGTACCCTACGAATAGTAACCAATTTGTGGGATTGGTGTCGGGAGAGTGTTGAAAGTGTCAGATTAGAGTCAGGTCACCTCCAAAATAAAATACAACCGCAGTCGGATCAGCCGTACACCGCCGATGAATATGGCGGATGGACATCGGGCCGCTACCAGTCTTTCGTCCGATTAACCCGATCAGTGATGGATCTCTATCGGATTTTACAGAAAAAGGGGACCCCCAAAAATGGATATGGGGGGTGAATTTTAATCGGAACTCATCGGAACGCTGAAATGTTCGCAAAATGTGGATCAGATGGGCTTTAGATGAGGTTCCGATGATCAGTGGAATCGGGGAATCCATGCTTGACGTAAGAGGCGAATAACGGGACCTGGTGGTCAGGCTGGCTGACTTGGTTGACACATGTCATCGTATCCCAATTGCGTAGATCGAAGTTCATTCTGTTGATCACTGGATTGTCTGGTTGACACTCAATTATTTACAGACGGTCGCCATAATTCTGTAATATTGCTGAGTGCAGCGTAAAACTGAAGTCACTCACTCACTTAGCCTCTCAAACAGACATCAGACATATTGTGAAATGATCTTGAAGAGACGTAAAATCTATTTTTCAGTATTGCCCAATAGTTGATTTGAGGTATCATATAACAAGGTACGGTGTGGGAGTTCTTGCTCCTTCAGCAGAGAATCCCCTGTCTGTCGACTGACCATGTGCCCTAATTCACCTGTCGTGTGTGATGTCACTGGCAGGGAGGGATTCCTGAGATGCAAAGTACAAGTACCGGTCTTTACAGGGCTTGTGTACGCTGGGTCTGCCTGTGCCAGTTCGGAGACGCTGTATCAGGTTACATACAGAATCACAAATTACATACAGAATCACAAAAACAGAAACTTCCCTGTGTGTCCCAGATACAAAAGATACATGGAAATCTCTAAATCGATGTGTATTGTAGGCCTTGTGTTTGCATCACCTGTTAACCAAGCGTTTACATGCCTTGTAAATACAAGCTACAAACCCCCGTCCATACCTACATGTATATGAAATCCCTGCTGAAAGCAGAGGCTATGTAGGCATCACCTAGTAAACCAACGTTTACAGGCCTTGTAAGTCCTCTGTTTGCATAACTTGATAACCCAACGTTTACCTGCCTTGTAAGCCCTATGCTGGCATCACCTGTTAACCCAACGTTTACATGCCTTGTAAGCCCTATGTTGGCATCACCTGTTAACCCAACGTTTACCTGCCTTGTAAGCCCTATGTTGGCATCACCTGTAAACCCAACGTTTACCTGCCTTGTAAGCCCTATGCTGGCATCACCTGGTAACCCAACGTTTACATGCCTTGTAAGCCCTATGTTGGCATCACCTGTTAACCCAACGTTTACCTGCCTTGTAAGCCCTATGCTGGCATCACCTGTTAACCAAGCGTTTACCTGCCTTGTAAGCCCTATGCTGGCATCACCTGTTAACCAAGCGTTTACCTGCCTTGTAAGCCCTATGCTGGCATCACCTGTTAACCAAGCGTTTACCTGCCTTGTAAGCCCTATGCTGGCATCACCTGTTAACCAAGCGTTTACATGCCTTGTAAGCCCTATGTTGGCATCACCTGTCAACCCAGCGTGTACATGCCTTGTAAACGCTATGCTGGCATCACATCTTAACGCAACGTTTACCTGCCTTGTTAGCCATATGTTGGCATCACCTGTTTACCCAACGTTTACATGCCCTTCAAGCCATACCTTGTCCCCTTTTCGACATGCCCAATAAACTCTATGCAGGACATGCACCACTGGCATGTCCACGTAAGCTTATATTCAAATGCTCAATACAGTCTCGGTTGAGATACCCAATAAATGTACACATACCCAATAAACTATATGTCCAATCAACATTATATTTTCATGCCCATCAAACAATGCGCATGAACAGTAAATATGTTGCCATACTCAATAAACCCGATGTTGACATGTTATGTGAACCCTATGCTGACATGTCCTGAAATGTGTGCACACAAATTGATTGGTCAATAAGCATTTGAAACACTGGCATATTCGGAAATGAAAGGTTTCCACTAAAAACACTAAAATTGTTTCAAAAGCAGAAGACACATACTTAGTACGTATGCAGTATGACTGTAAAAGCATTGGGTAAATTATAACGAAATGATAATGTTATTCTCCCATCTTTCGGTTGTAATCAAGAGAGAACGTTAATTAAGCGACTAAACTTTGCTAAAGCTCTCACCTGCTGTCGTTAAGGGATACGTCGTGGTCCTGGCATCACGCAGGGCAGCTGCCGTCTCATTCAGCTGCAGCTGTAAATCACGGATATCTTTGGTCAATCTGCGACGTGTTTTTCGAACACTCTTTCTGTAAGTTTCTCTCTCCTGTTCAACATGTCGCAGCTGTTGTGCCTGTACTTTAAGTTGTGTCTTCGTGAATTGCACTTTTGCTTTGAGGCTGTGGACTTCATCAAGGACTAATGTGCTGATTATATTACCGATAAAGTCTTCTCTCAGGATGTCGGTCATGGCTTGTTTGACGAGACTCTTTATCAAGGGAGGAACGTATGTTCTGGTCAGTTCTTCTTTCAGTGTCAACTCCAACTCTTCAAATTTCTCCAACATTTTAGTCTCGCTATCAACAGCTGAACGTTTCCATACGTTAATCGCCCTCTCCATCAATCTCACCCGTTTAGCCAATGTACCAATCCTGGGAGCAGCCTGTACTATGCTGACAGCACACAACAGCAGACTGAAGTATATGACAGCTGATACCTCCATCGTGCAAGTGTGCAGAACGCAGCTAGGAAGACGACTGCCTCGCCGCCGGGTAAACGGCTTTAATATATAGCCCGACTCAAGTGTTTGGCAGAATGCCAGCTCGGGGAACCACATGCTCCACCAGTAGTGTGCGTACACGTGACATCATAACAACTGATATGGCGGATACCTACCTGAGATGGATATCCAGTGCCATGTACCCAGCAAACACAACACTGCTCGGTGTATTGTCACTTTTAAAGTAACGTCAAATATATTGTCACGCATGTGATTACACCTTCTCGGTGAAGAACAGATTCTAGTACTTTTGTTGGATTGAGTCGACATAAGGCTACACTAAGTGTATCGATAGCTTTCGGTCGCGACAATTTTCACTTATGAAAGGGTTGCACAAAGTCGGTGGTTTAGAGTAACGGTTGTGCGACTTTCATTGTTGTGGAGGCTGCGGTGGCTGAATGGGTTAGACGGCTGACTTTGTGTGCTGGCGATTAGGTGCCTGGCTCTGAGAGTGTGGGTTCCGTTGCCGGATGAGACTCAACCCAACAAAACAGATATTGGTGCATGTACCTGTAGTTGAACCCCAAATAAAACACCTCCTAGGTTTATTGTATAATACCAGGGATAATCTTATATAGTCTCCCTGATAATACATACAGTGTCCTTTATGTATTACTGTCCAGGATATACACTGCATGCATTACATTACAGGGGCTGTAGGGTAGCCTAATGGTTAAAGCTTCTACTCGTCACGCTGAAGGTTCGATTCCCCACATGGGTACAATGCTTGAAGCCCATTACATTACAGGGGCTGTAGGGTAGCCTAATGGTTAAAGCTTCTACTCGTCACGCTGAAGGTTCGATTCCCCACATGGGTACAATGCTTGAAGCCCATTACATTACAGGGGTTGTAGGGTAGCCTAATGGTTAAAGCTTCTACTCGTCACGCTGAAGGTTCGATTCCCCACATGGGTACAATGTTTGAAGCCCATTACATTACAAGGACTGTAGGGTAGCCATATGGTTAAAGCTTCTACTCGTCACGCTGAAGGTTCGATTCCCCACATGGGTACAATGTTTGAAGCCCATTACATTACAGGGGCTGTAAGGTAGCCTAATGGTTAAAGCTTCTACTCGTCACGCTGAAGGTTCGATTCCCCACATGGGTACAATGCTTGAAGCCCATTACATTACAGGGGCTGTAGGGTAGCCTAATGGTTAAAGCTTCTACTCGTCACGCTGAAGGTTCGATTCCCCACATGGGTACAATGTTTGTAGCCGATTTCTGGCGTCCCCTGACTTGATATTGATGGGATATTGCTGAAGGCGGCGTTAAACCATATTCACTCACTCATTCACATTACAGTATACATGCCAGGCGTTACTTTAAAGGATCTATCGTGTATCTTCAGTTAGATTACACATGTTGCGTATCAAATTACAGTGTGCCTGGTGTCTATTACATCTTTTAATATATGTAAAGTGCAGACAGACATTGTTCAGGTATCAGGTGCTCTTCAATAGCAAAAACAATGTTTAAGCAAAGCAGCGGCTTGCTTACAGACAATGTTCTCAGTACCATGGGTGTGTTGCCTCCTGGAATGATGAAGCTGTTGTCCGACCTAGTTTGGTCATCAAAATACAGCATCATCTCTGGAGACATTATCTACAGCATGGAAATACTAGAACCGGAGCCATTGTCGACGTCGGAATACAACAAGACAGCCACACTGGCGGTTGACGGAACACAACACCTGGCACCTACATGCAGAGATACGAGCGATGTTGCGTCCACGTTACCTCCAGGCAAACCTAGCTTGGTGAAAACAGTACCTCAGTTCAGAAGACGAGACTGGGACAGTATATTTCAGACTCATATTGATCGTCTTGTACAATTATCAGCTTATATTTACATTCATGAGACATATTTGGAGATGAAACCATTATAACTTTACAAGTAATGCAAATAACATAACTGGGGGCACAGACCTGGCGTCATGAAACACCCGGTGAAATACCATTAACGGTCTTCAATACAAGCAACAAAACATCCACATCCACGAGATATTTCTGCCAAGAGCAGGGTCGACTGCATGAGTCACTGCATCATGAGCGCGTGTTTAGGAATCACTATCAAACCGTGTTCACGAGAAGGTGAATGCATCCTGTCCCATCGGTGGCATTCGTCATAAACACAGGCAGGGGCAAGTCAGTTGTCCAGCTGAGAAGAGATCGGGAAGTTTTGGGACAAGTCAAAATAGGAGATTACATCTGACACCATGTTTGTCACTGGTGCGTCAGTTTTGGGCATGTCTTCCTCTGGTCTACTATGGAACATATTCGGATATGCCCGAGTATCTCTGAAATGTAAAATGAAAACGCTGGAGCTGTTGGGATAGTTTTTTCTCTGATAACTCTTGGCTAGGAGACAGATGGGTTTTACCAGACTGGCATCGGAATGCATGTATGACGTAGTTCTTGTCAGACTGCCAAGACATTAGAGTGATGGCGGTAAGAATAGTAACACGGTATGTACACTTTATACAATTTATACATGTTTAGAAATTTCAAATCTGTATTCGAACACTAAACTATATAATACCACTAATAATTATTGCATATGTATATATTAGATCTACACAGTTTTCACTTCAAACTACACCGTACTATTCCCGCGTTTCCGTTATGTAAAGCTACAGTTACAGAGGGCAAGGGCAAAGCTTAATTTCTGACTTTTGACTTTTGACATCAGCATTCGTTGGGATTGCATTTCTGTATTCGATTTTTTAAGAATTATCTATCAAATCCTAGCTACTCATATCCTGGAGTTAGTGTCAAAGTCTATCCCAGATAGATCTGTGGTCACATGAAGCTGCAAGAATTATTCGATACAGAGTTCAACGTAGTATCTCTTCTTGGGTCTAGTCCAGCTTAATTTAGTTTTAACTGTGCTGATCTTTAATCTAGTAAATCATTAGTGTATCCATCGCTGCGTGGAAGTATCTTTCTGATCCATCCTTTGTCAGCCTTATGTTATCTGCCCATTGAACCAGAATACAATCAGTATATGCTGTCTTAATGTCGCTGTACTTTCTCATTCCTTCTTACAAGTGCTAATATGTCAGGATAGAAATTAAATATGAAAACTGGGTTTGACAAACGACATCGTGTTGTAATATGGAAGAAGGAGCTTGGAAACATTTCCTTACAGACTTGATCGTATATATCTAAATCAACACAAAGGGCACATATTCTACTACATCAAGAGCCTTATAACATCTAAGGTCGGGAATCTGATAAGATTCCATGTATTCAATCATACCATTTATTGATCGGGTTTCTTACTGCCCGGGACATAAAGTACTTTTGTGATCCTCATACACCTGTATGGTGTCTCTGCTTATGTCCTGTAATACTGCTGATATTCTACAGCCACTACCATTGTGTTTCCTTTGTGATCCTCATACACCTGTATGGTGTCTCTGCTAATGTCCTGTAATCCTGCTGATATTCTACAGCCACTACCATTGTGTTTCCTTTGTGATCCTCATACACCTGTATGGTGTCTCTAATGTCCTGCTTCCTGATGATATTCCTCTAATCCATTGCTGATATTCACCTACAGCCACTTATGTCCATAATGTTTCTACAGCCACTACCATTGTGTTTCCTTTGTGATCCTCATACACCTGTATGGTGTCTCTGCTTATGTCCTCTAATCCTGCTGATATTCTACGGCCACTATCATTGTGTTTCCTTTGTGATCCTCATACACCTGTATGGTGTCTCTGCTTATGCTTATGTCCTGTAATCCTACTGATATTCTACAGCCACTACCATTGTCTTTCCTTTGTAGAGATGTGTGAACGTCGGTATGGTAGAACTGACATGGTTGTGTGTACATGTAGACTGTTGACCTGATCAGTGAGCGTGGATATGGTCCAACTGACATGGTTGTGTGTACATGTAGACTGTTGACCTGAGCAGTGAACGTGGGTATGGTCCAACTGACATGGATGCGTGTACATGTAGACTGTTGACCTGATCAGGGAAGGTGGGTATGGTCGAACTGACATGGTTGTGTGTAGACTGTTGACCTGATCAGGGAAGGTGGGTATGGTCCAACTGACATGGATGCGTGTACATGTTGACTGTTGACCTGATCAGTGAACGTGGGTATGGTCCACCTGATATGGTTGTGTGTACATGTAGACTGTTGACCAGATCAGGGAAGGTGGGTATGGTCCAACTGATATGGTTGTATGTACATGTAGACTGTTGTCCTGATTAGGGAAGGTGGTTATGGTCGAACTGACATGGTTGTGTGTAGACTGTTGACCTGATCAGGGAAGGTGGGTATGGTCTGACTGACATGGTTGCGTGTACATGTAGGCAGTTGACTTTGACAGCAGGAACGATCAGTGAGCATGGGTATGGTCGAACTGGTTTCTGCTGTTCAATTCTTAGAATCTGGTACTGGTAATCTGATAGCAACCGACCATCCGGAGTATCCATTGCTTCAACAGTGTCAGGTGTTGTGGGCACCAGGAAACAGACAGGCTGCAGATATGTATTGGAAACTGTTGATCATGTTGAAGGCAATGGCTTACAATATACTTGTGTTTCCTTGATGGACCACATGAGCGCAATTCTCGCACAACGTTCACTTTTCAAACCTTTGGAAAATGTGCGCTCGAAAAAACCTCGGCATCCAGGGGGTTAATGCTGCATTACACACTAACCTCAACACAATATCACTCGATCGCTTCTTTAATGCTACATGACACACAAACGGCAACACAATATCACTCGATCACTGCTTTAGCGCTGCATTACTCAATTACTTAAATCTGTATTACTTTACTTACCACACAGTATCACTCACTCACTCACTCCTTATATGCTGCTTTACTCACTCACTTCTGGAATACTGCATTATTCACTTGATGAAACAGACTGGATTACTCTCACATTTTATCTAACACTGCATTGTTCACTTACTTATGAAACACATAATTACTACGTTCAAACATAGTGTCACTCACTCACACAACGC